CAATCTCACGCTTCATTAGCGTGCTATTAAAACTTAAATTAGTATTGTTAACTTTCATAAACATCCATGCTTCTCAATTAGTATTGTTAACTTTCATAAACATCCCTCTAACACGACTTTCTGATCTTTAATGCGGTTTACAAGTGTGCACATGTGACCTAAATACCGCGTCGTGATTTGTCTGTGGCCTTATTAATTATTCATACATTTTACAATGAATTTTAAAGTTGATTTTAGTCATTTTTGTGCCTATTACAACCACTGATCTTTACAACGAACTAATGCTAATGCTAGACGGCCTTACAGGACCTCTATAACTGACATTTGTGCATTATAAAGTGTAATTTGTGTTTCCTACTACAGTGACACTGGCGCAATGATCCTTTCTGGATCTCTGGCAATATTTCATTGAATCACATGCAATCAATCATTGCTATAGTCGAGCCCATTTTCCACTGGGCGAATTTGTTCGCGCGAAGTGAAAAACAAATCTTGACAATGTAATTGGTTCGATCAGTTCCTACTTTTTAAATTCGCCCAGTGGAAAATGGGCTTTGGAGTCGTTTTCGTACGCCAGAATGACAACCGTATACGACTAAGTTGTTATTGTGTAAATGAAAGCTAATCAAACTGTACCTGCAGATTCCACATTTTTGGCAATGATAAGGACGATCGTCGTTGAAAGAAGCGAAATTTTATTTAATTTACGATTATTATAAATTTACGAAGGATATCAGTCTGGTAAAAACATTAATTAAAGAAACTTACTTGTAACAGGGCCATCTGCAACGACTACACTTGTTTCAGTAAATCCAGATGCAATAGGTTTCTCATTTCGCTGCTCGTGGGCTCTGGATTGGTTTTCATTGGGAGATCTGGACACGAGATTTGCGTTGTTTGTGTTTGGGTATCCCAAGAAACCTGAGAGAGCATGCTGGTGGTTTTGTTGAGCGACCGAGTTTTGCGGTCCATTGCTGTTTTCTGGTTTCCTTGAAGTTGCTGGATTTCTGCTTGCACTCATTTGTAATGAACCGCTGGCAGCGACATTTCTTCCTGTTGACGTACTGGAACTCAATGTATTCAAGAGACTTGAAAACCGTGAAGTGGAACCGTGCTGAGGATTCTGTGCCCTACTCGCCTCGCGTTTTTTCCAGGTTGGGGTTTGGCGAAGTAAGCTGTAATCACCAAGAAGGAATGCATCGATAATGTAGACAAGATCAATCCTGACAACAGATTCAAAGAAATCGCGAAGTGGACTTAAATTTGAAGCATTGATGATTCCTTTTTGATCAAGTTGTAAAAGAACATCGGTAGCACTTTGAACGTTCGCGATTGCGAAACCTTGAGAAGCCCAGTCCTTCAGTTTCACGACGTCGGAAGAAAGAAGACTTTGGCCCAGTGAGAGCAGCAGGAGCTTGTAGTTGTTGTATAAAGTTGTCGCGACTGATGTAGGTGGTATATTTCCCAGAGATATGCACTCTCTTCCATTTGAATCATCTTGTTGAATGGAGAATAATAAATCTTCATTGCTTCGCTGGGTCAAACTTTGCTCACCACTTTCGTCTCGTGATGTCGATGCTGCGTCACTGGTCCCGTTGATGTTTCCAGGTGTATCGATTCCCTCTCCGCCACTTGTCTTCTCTACGCTCTTTGACGAGTTTTGCATTGTAGGATTTTGGTTTTCGCTGTTAGTGCCAAAGACTGATATCCCTGTGTTGCTACACGTCTCATTCGCTTCTTTTTCTTCTTGATGATTACTTCCTGGCACCAAAGACTCGGCACCCTGGACACGTTGTTCGCCAGTTGATCCATTCACCGGAGAGTTAACACTTTCATTTGTTCTCTGAGCTTTTGGGAACCCAGTTGGAGAGCCATTGCCATTTGTCCGAGAGCTATTTAGGTAGCCAAGCCTGCCATCTTCTGTATCTGGTTTGTCGTTGATGCCAGACACAACAGATCGTTTCGCTTCGGGTGATGAGGAACGAAATATTCTATGAAAGAGTTCAAATTTTCTTCCTTCGCTTTCTCTGGCAGTTTTTTCAACAGTAAGTTCACCAAGGTCAGCCAAAACATCTTGGAGTAGCTCTTCCAAACAGGAGATTTCTTGTTCCAGTAGTTCAATTCGAGTTTCTGAATGCGATTTTTGATTTAGCCCACGCCACTTTAATGAAGCATGTTCTTGTTCCGAGTTTTTTTCACGCCACATCTTTCCTGCTGTGCCTTTTTTAATCTTAGTAACGGGTTCTTCGTCTTGATAAGGTAAGATTTTTGAAACTGTACACAATTTTTCTTGTTTTGCGGTGCCTTTTCGTAAAGATTCTGCTGAAATACTGCGTGGTTGACATTCACAATCTAAATGGTAGTCTGAGTCATCTTTTCCACCTTTGTCATTTTTGTTGTTTTCGTAATCTTTGTATTCTGCATTTTCGTTCTCGCCTTCCGTGAAACGAATTAATAAGGTATAGAATTTTTTTAACGTTTTGCAAGTGTCTTTACAAGTGCATTTTCCACGATCAAATAACAGTTTTAACTGCTCTGCAGTTTTTTCGCTTGGGCATTGAAGACACCTCTCTGCTAAATCCAATGAAATCAATGTTTCTGCAAACTTACTTTTTGTTTCCGAAATGCATTTCATTAATTCAGGATTGAATGATCGATTAGAATTTGGTGATTTAACAGAAGTTGATTTTATGGTTTCCTGAATTTTATGATTTAAATTGAAATCATTGATAAAAATTGGATCACACTTATACTGCTTACTGAATTCCGTTTCACGCAATATCTTAACTGTGAAAACAAAATAAATCCCAGAATGGACCTCATCTCCACCATCATCTCGCGATGGTGAAACGAGCTGCTCTCCATCAGTACTTTCGGTCTTTGTTTCGATCAAATGATCGATTGCCCAGAACATTTTCGTACGGATGTCTTCAATATACAACTACCCCTAAAATGAAAGGAAGGAAAGGAAAACATGGAAAGTCGCAATTATACTGTAAAAAGATTGAAAGTCTGAAACAACCAATTTAAATTGGTTGTTTCAGACGCATTAATTAAAACAATTTTTATTGGTTACAAAACCAACAAATTGGTTAAAACAACTCAAAAAAATGATTAAAACAACATATATTTTGGTTGTTTTGACCAAATAAAATTGGTCAAAATGAGATGCGTCTGAGACAATTTGAATTGGTTATTTCAACCCATGCTTCATGTAAATCCATACGAAGCCCAATGGCTTGGATGTGTTATTTGAGACAAGCCTAGCCTGCGTATCAGTGGCTATATTTTTTGAAGGTTTTAATCCTCAAAACCTTAAAAAATAGCCAAGCCTTGAGATGTCGCGACAATATTTCGTGTGGGTCGCTTAAAGGCTTGATTACCAAACGCTGACCTATTAAATAGTCATGGATAACTAAACTAAAACTCGATAACATTACGTATTAAATCGCGCAATAAAGTATTAGTACAGTCGTTGTACTAAGATCCAATTTGAGAACAATAGTGTACTTTGCACTAGATTCAGCCCAAGATTCATCATTTTTTCAATGTATACAATCGTTGCACTGTAGGAAAGTATGGTGCGAGTATCATAATGATTTTGCTGAACGTAGTGCTAAATTACGCATTTATACTAAACAAAATAAATTTTCTTTTACTGTATTCATCATAAATCTTATTGCATGAAACCTCTCAGCCCTGTTTGTGATGGAATTTTAGGATAACATATTTTGATTTATGTTATACAGGGTGTATAAAAAAAATGCAGTTTAAAAATGTTCGCTAAACTGCAAATTCCACAAAATGCAAGCATGGGTAGTTTGGGGTCTGCTAGTATCTTCACCACTAAAATAATTTTCAAAAGTAAATTTTCGAGTGCAAGAGGGTTGTTTTTAAAAAACACTTTCAAAATGGCTTACGCACAATTCAAAATTTAAAAGGTGTTCTATGAATTATCAAAGTATCAGACAATTTGATGTACATCAAGTCCAACGTGCAACCTCTTGCCTTAGTGGCCTTTCACGCATAATTTTAAAACTTTTTGTAAACATATCAATCATGCATAAAATCAATCATACGTTCAATAAGGTGACAAGCTTTCGTTGCATTAACACCATAGATATAGGAGATCTAGATTGCTAACGCATACCTAACGCAGGCGGGGCCTACATGATAAATCCAAGATGGCGGTACAACAGGGCAAAAAGACTATAAATTCTATTACGAAAATCAGGATTTTTGCATTTTTTGCCGTCGCATTGTTTCGAAACTTATTCGGTCAAATTTTATGGTAAAGAGAAACTTACCGCGAAGATTTTGAGCATATATATGATTAAATTGGATGAAAAATCGCAAAATTATCCAGCGATAAAAGTTCGTGTGAAATGGTCAGTTGGTCAGTTGGAGCGTTTTATTGCCAGAAATACTGTGCTATGTTAACATCTAGCCTTGTGAATGGTGTTTTATACTTGCATCTCTCATCATCATCTGCTCTGTCCTCATAATTATGAAAAATGAACTGTTATGTAAACCCCCCCCCCCATCCTTGCTTGTTAGAGAAGTAAACTGATGAGAGCACTGGATGAGGGTCTATCATCTATGGTCTGTTATAATTTGCTTTTTATGCAAATAGTGAGCACAAATTAAAGCAAAACTGTACAAGTTACATATATAGTACTATATCAGTACTATACACGAACTTTTATCGATGGATAATTTTGCGAGTTTTCATCCAATTCAATCATATATATGCTCAAAATCTTCGCGGTAAGTTTCTCTTTACCATAAAATTTGACCGAATAAGTTTCAAACCAATGCGACAGCAAAAAATGCAAAAATCCTGATTTTCGTAATAGAATTTATAGTCTTTTTGCCCTGTTGTACCGCCATCTTGGATTTATCATGCAGGCCCCGCCTGCGCTAGGTATGCGTTAGCAATCTAGATCTCCTATATCTATGATTAACACTACCTGCACTGGCAGAGACATTTCAAGCTTGATAAGTTGTGCGCCGTCTACACGGCAAAAAGTTCACGTTTTAGGGTCGCCTGCAAGGCCGTAGCGACCGGGGAACGTGTGGGGTGTAACACCCCCCTGATAATTGCTCATATAAGCAATTTCAGATAATTTCAGATAGATTTGTAGAAGAAATTCAAGTAAATTAACGCAAATTCAGGTATTTCCTAGGACAAGAGAAAGTTAATTTACAAAAATAACTGTCAATTTGGAAAAAAAATCAGGTATATTTACAAAAATTTTAGCAAATTTTAGAAATTTTAGAAAAACGTATTTGAAAAACGGTGAAAATTTTTGATATCCGGAAAATTTTTTCTATGTCGCGAAAAATTTTGGTATGTCCGAAACAATTTTTTTACCCCTAAAAAAGGTACACTGACCGAAATTTTTCTGGCGACGGGTGGGGGGGGGGGTGGTCGCCAAAACAAATTTTTCCGAAAAAAATTTTCAGGTAAAATTTGAAATTTTGAGACTTTCAGGTAGATTTAACCGAACACCCCCCTGAAGCGAGTCCCTCGCGACGATACTGGTCGCGTGTTGGACTTGTGCTACTTTGATAATTCCCGAACATTTTCGAATGGATGTCTTCAATATACAAATACCCCTAAAATGAAAGGAAGGAAAGGGAAACATGGAAAATTCGCAATTATAACTTTCGATATTTGATATCATGCTTCGCGTAAATCCATAAGCAGCCCAATGAATTGGATGTGTTATTTGACTAAAATATTCAAAATTTTAATAAAACGGCATGCGACTGCATGTAGCTACCTGCCAAACGTAATAAATCTCTACATAAAGGGGGTTTTAAGCCTTCGTTTTTGCGCGCAAGCCATTTTTAAAGCGGTTTTTAAAAACGGACGTATTTGGTGGGTAATATCAGGTAAGGTGATTATCATTGCCCACTGTGCATTTCATGCATGCTTAAGCTAAAAAACACTCAGGTACAAAATTGGCATTGTACAAAACATAGACTGGACATCAAATTCGACTGAAATTTTAAAAAAACCCGCAAAACTAGACTTGACGAGGCCCGACATATGTTTGGGAGGCGTTTTACAGACCGTAAAATCAATCAAATTCAAAAGAAGTAAATAATGCAGAACACGAATATATGAATATAAGCTCTCCCATCGATCTTTCTATGCCGATGGCCATGCAGACTGAAATATCGAAATTTAATACGAATGCGAGCAGGCTACCCATAGCAAAGACAGATAAGTAGTTTATGTTTGGTATTCTATTCTATTCTATTCTATTCTATTCTATTCTATTTACTGGGGTTTTTTCTGGGGCAAAGGTAAAGTATTTCAATTTCCGAAAATCAAAAGTAATTCAGGTGCAAAACGTTATATTCTTGAGATGCAACCAATCTCCTCCTGGTACACACCAGACAATATTCATTGATAAAATCACAAAATAGACATGACATGATATTGAATATCTATAGACCTTTCCCCTTTTGAGTGAAATTTTGATCTAGACAAGTCTGGACAAAAAATTTTGTCCAGGCATATCTACAATCCTGGACAAAACCATCTGCGACACTCTATTAAAACATTCCTTTGTGGCTTTTTTTACCAGTTAGACCGGAATAATTTACTCGTTTGCCCCCCTCCGCCCCCCAAAACAATGTTGGACGTTTTATCCGTATTCTACGAATCCAATCAACATTGAATGGTGGGGGAAAGGGGGAGGTTTTCTAAATTTATGACAACATTACGATATTTTGTCAAGTATAATTGGAAGTGTCGCAGATGTTTTGTCCAGGATTGTCTGAGATGAGTCGAAATTACATTCTTTTATATTTCGCTTGTTATACATGTCCTTGCCATGTATTTTGTTTATGCGCATTGCTCATGACCTACTTATATTCATAATTACATCAAGTACCTTATTTCATTAATTAAATACGTCATGAATACCTTAGTGTTTTGGAGGGGGTAATAATGTGTGGTAGAATATACAACACAGTATATTATTTTTAATTTTAGCAATTAAAAGCAACGAAATGTTGCGGAAATAATTGAGAAAGTAAAACTATCGCGTTCTAGTCGATTCGTTGCAATAATTCAGAAATTAAGAAATATATACGAGTCATATTTGTTAACTGTATATATATAAGACCTGCAAGACACAATAGACAACCTATAGTCGACCATGTGAGAAGGTGCCTAGATGGACATGCAAACGATAAGTGAATGAGATGCAATGTACGACACAAAAATATATTTCCATGAGAGTTCGTGCAACTTATATATTGATAGGTTATACATTCAGTCTACACATAGACGAATGCGTGTGGTATCCAGTAGAACTAAAGGACAATAAATTCAATATAGTTACCGCGTTTCTGGTATTCACTGCATATATTTAGAAAATTAAGCGACAACTATATAATTGGGAATTATGCATTTTGACACAAGTTTTCGTGGTGTGGTAAATCAATGCTCATATTTTCCCAATGTCATACCTAACGGTGTACCACTGACCAATACACTAAGACTGTGATAATATCCTCAGTTATGGGATATAATACAAACCAATGAAATGGACTTGAAAGAACGTGTGTTGCTTAGTATTCCAACCTACTTCAGACAATATTTAGCACGATAATTTTAAAATACTCCACGGTGTACCATTTTCACCCTACAAAAGGTTATATATATATATATTCTTATATGTGCACGCTGTACCATGGTACACCGTCAATGCGCATGCGCTATTATACGACAATAACAAAATCGGATTAGTCATTTAGTGCGGCGGTCACGCAATATATTTCCACTCAACAGCTAAGCGTTAGTCTGTCTAACAACACAAATAAGTATGGATAAACGCATTTTAGAATATTCTTAGTGCAAAATAGTTGGTATATACACTATGAGGTACATTGACTTGCTCTCCAACGTATATTAAATGCGCGAAAGTCGTCGCATATGATTCTTAATCGCATTCTA